AGTCTCTTTTCCACACTTGATTGCTTGCCGAACTCCGCAAATCGCGTGCGGAAAAGTGGTACTTTCCGTACTAGTTAGGAAATATATATTCTTCGAGCGTGCGGAAAGTGCACTTTTCCGCACGCATTTTTGGTCATGAAAGTAACACTTTTCCGCACTAGTGCGGAAAAATAGATTACTATTCCGCACGGACTGCGGAAATGTAGAATAGGTACCTAAAATTTTCAGGTATACAGGTACTTACAGGTATACAGGTATACTACAGGTACTATATTTTGTCACATTCTGGACATTTAGGTTTGAAATTGGCATTGTCATGTTTTGCATCTACAATAAGGGCCAGAACACAAATGCTTTTTTCATAAACGTCACACAATTTGACCTGAACGGCCATATTAAATCACGTGATCTGGATTGCCTAACTTGAGCTCCCTGTGCAAGAATCGTTCTCGGTATCCTAACAAAATTTTGACAGTAAATAAACATTTCAAAATAGGTTTGTCCGGACTTAATTCAGAATCAGTTCTGAACTGGTCATATCGAACATATATAATCAAATGCGCAAGCGCAATTCAATTCAGAACTGATTCTGAACTAAGTCCGAACAAACCTAATAGTAGTAGGCTATGTTGAGTTCAGGCAATGACATATTCTAGGTTAAAAACGGGTGGGAAAATGCCAAAGTAATGCCATCTGTATAGCTTTCTAGGTTGAAAACTTATCTAAAAATGCCAAAAATATGTCATTTTTGGTAATGAATTAAATTAATGTATAACTACTGTAACTACATAACTTACATCAGACTATCAGACCAAGACTGGAATATGGCTACACTGTTTAGAGCCCCTACTATATTATCTCAGCTGACATCATCAAATGCTGAAAAAGGAAAAATCTGCTCTTCTCGGAAGGAAAAACTTTCTAAGTAATAGAGTGGTATACGAATGAATGGAACTCACTGAGTGCGGAAGCTTATAACTGCATCTACCAAAAACTGTTTCAAAAACAAACAAGATAAAAATGTATCAAGCCTCCTCAACACACTGGTACCTACACCACCTGTAACGAAAAAGTGAACAAATTCAAAATGTTTAGAGATTTTGTCGAACAATCACAAGCAATGGACTCATCGGTATCTCACCGATTCCTGTTGCTCAGTGGATAATAATCGTATAATAATATTAATTGTTTTATCCAACACATGACAGTTATGACTATTATTATCAATGTCATTTTAGACAAGTAAACTATCAAATAACACACTAGTGTGTTATAATCCATAACTCACTAGTGAGTTATGGATTATAACTCACTAGTGAGTTATGGTTTATAACTCACGTTCATATTTAAAGTAGTATTCTATTTATTTATTACTATTACAATTACAATTAAAGGATAACGTTAACGGTTTATTCGAATTTGAAGTCATTGTAAAATTCGTTGGTTCATTGGAACCAGACGCTCCCATATCGGTACAGCTGCTGATAGTGCTGGAAGACGCAGACTAATAGAACCTTGTATTTTTTTGTATTATCTCATAAAAAACACGATTTCTTCTACTTGTTGGGATAAAACATTGTATGCCACTCGTGTGTTATGTTTCCTAAGTCACTTGAGAATTTATACCACTCGGCCTGACGGCCTCGTGGTATAAATCTTTCTCGCGTGACTTATTTTCAACATAACACACTAGTACCATAAATAACTATTATACCTTTCCTTATTCATTGTGATAATAGAAATAAAAACAAACTAAGGCTATGGTTCGAATATAACCAAAGGTTAACCAAAGTAACCGAATCGGTTGACAGATGGTTACTTAAAATTCCGGTTACTTGGGGAACGCAAATATGAAATAAAAAATAATTGACAGAATTTACAGATAAAACCAACAGAACCGACATTTGATAGCCGGTAACTATTTTGACATTTAGTGAACCAGATTTCAGGAAACCAAGGTCCAAAATTAACCATTTTTCCAGGAACCAGAGTAATTTGATTACTTTCGGACCGCGAAACCACAACCCTGTTTATATTTGGACCACAGCCTAAATGAAATCATCAGATAAATCATAAGGTTAGGTACCGACCTGTCACTTTACTGAATTTCAGTATATTTAATAATAATAGGAATAATTTTTATATCCTACTGAACTATTATAATCATACTTTCGTTACGATAATCATAAACAGGGTCTTAACTCCTGCGCGGGATTTAAGGATTTCATAACTCCCAAGGGAGTTAAGGATGTCATAACTCCCAAGGGAGTTAAGGATGTCATAACTCCCAAGGGAGTTAAGGCTTTCCATAACTCCCGCTTTTACCTTGAATAGGTAAAACTTGGAGAAAAAATATAAATTTTGGTTTATGGTTTATTCCTTTATAAAAATAGACAAAATACAGTAAATCCAGTAGGATGTAAAATTATTTATGTACCACGGAAATTATCAGGAGTTAATACCCACGGGCAATTGGTACAAACTTTGCCCTGGGGTATTAACACCCTCATAATTCCCTTGATACATAAATAACTATTATGCACTTCAGGGATTAAAAGTACTCTTTTTAATCCCTATTTTTAGGGTGTAAAGTGGGTCTTTTAATCCCCGGGATAATTAGCTATGATGATGATGACTTTGCTTCTAAATGAGAGATATTTTTATTATATTGAGCAAATGATTGGCCATCTACTAGCGATATATCACGCTGATTTTTTCTGAGCTTTGTGTCGTCGCTGAGAAGATTTTGATACTAATAATAGAAGCATTTCTCAGTAGATACTTTTTTGAAAAGTTGCAGAATGTTCTGTGAGCTCAATATATTTCTGACCACTAACTCCTTTTCTGCCAATGTAGAAATTACGCTAAAAATGATTAAATTATTTTATTTTAATCTATAGGAAAAGCAATTTCCTATAGATCAAAAATCACATTGGAAAAAGCAAGTGCAATCCAGTTGTACAGGAGCTTTACTTATTGGAAGCGAATCTGAGCTTTTGACACGTTTAGAAAATTTCAAATTGCCGATTGCCGAAATACCTAATCCATCTTTCGAAGTGGAGTTGAAATTAAATTCCAAAAGAAAAAACACAGTTTGTGTTTTCTTTTGAAATTACATTTAAAAAATACAGATAATCTTGACGAAGGTAGTGAAGAAGAACATATCTGCTCCCTACTCCCAACTTCTAGTGAAAAAGATGTTCGAAACAAAAATCTGATAAAAAAAAGTTAGTTAAAATTAATAAAAACTTGAAGTTTACTGCGACCTCTATGTTAAGCATCTAATAATATGTCGAAACCTAAAACAGATATTTGTATCTTAAATCAAGCGATACTCGTAAGATGTCATTACCTTGATTAGTACCATTGTTGGTACCAAATAATACCATCAAATGAATGTGAGGTGTGTTGCCTACAAATTAGCTTGCATACATTTTCAAACCTAAGTGTGTGAAAACCTGTAAAGTTTTGAAATACCTCGGAAGAGATGATATCCAAACTGGATGAGACGAAATCAGGACGAAATACCCGAATCAAGATAGCATTTGACCTGGACAAAAATAATATAAAGCTGATTTTTAGTAGAGGTCATGCCTGAGGGCTAAATTGCAACACAATGAAATTCCTGACCGATCCTCCTTCCGCTACCCCCTTTTTTCGCCCCCTAACCCTCACCCTTTTAATATTTTGGTGATTTTTCTCGAAAACTATCCACTTCAAGGAAAAATGTCATGACAGCATTTTTGAAGCTGACATTTCCTTCGAAATGACGTATTGGCAGTCCATATAGTGCGACATGATATGCACCAGTGGCGTATCAAATGAAGGGTTAGTTTTAGAAAATATACTTTTTGCTATTTATTCTCAGCTTTTTTGATCTAACAATATTGGTAATTTTAATTGGCTCTATATTGCATAAAGTTTTTGATATAATATTGATTTTTTTTTTGGGCCAACATTTGGTTACGTTATTGTACCAATGTTGGTATTTGTTTTTAGGTATATATTGATATAGGTATGTTCTTGGACACATATTGCTGACAAATCTGACTTGGGCCAATAAATCTTAGTTGTTGTCCCAATATTGGCCCAACATGGGAGTGCTACTTGGGGTAGACACTCAGGCCAAAAGTGTAGCACATTTTGTTGTGGAAACAGTTACAGAGGATTCTACTCTTGATATAGATGTTTAAAATGTTGATTTGAGACTAAATAGAAAATAATTAAACAGCAGTTTCAATATTTTTGATTCTGGGGGGGTTGTCCTATACATTAATGGATTTGTAATTTTATCACCAACAAAAAAATTGGCGACGATATTTTTGGCCAAGCTCATAGTTTTTGGTTAAAATCAGTAAATTCGTGTCATTCGAGAACTTTTAATTAGGTAATCTCGAGGCAAATTTTCTTTTGATACGCCACTGGGGCGTACCACGTGATAATATATGGGCTCACAATATGTCGTTGTAAGGGAAATTTTGTCGGCTTCAAAAATGCTTTCTTGAGATTATTCCTCAAAGTGGATAGTTTCCAAGAAAATCCCCAAAATAATAAAAGAAGGGGTTTGAGGGGCCAAAAAAAGGGGTTGCGGAAGGAGGATTCTCCAGGACTTTTAGTATATCAATATTTAGCCTTAAATTATGATATATACCAAAAAATAACTTTATATTATTTTTGTCTAGCTTCACCCAAAATTTTATCTTGACTCAGGTACAATGGAAAAATATAGAAAAGGAAAAGGCTTACATTCAGGATTGTACGAGAAAAAAATGAGAACAGGCTAATAACAAGAAAAATGTTCCACTTGAAAATAAAATCACGAAAACTTTTTATGCACTTGTGATATTTCTAGTGAAAATGGAACTTTTTATCTTTTTTCATTTAATTGTCATTTTCCCAAACACTCTGATAATGCTGACAATTTATCATGCTCATGCTGGTCAAGTGGTACAGATATTCATAATTTGATCTTAAAGGAAAATAATAAAGAAACATCAGATTTACAATAAAATACATCTCGTTATTTATTTATTTTAGTTAAGTGTTACAAAATTTTATAAAAATAAAAAAAAAGCGATAAACATTTTTACAAAAGCCTTACAAAATAGAAATAAAATCATAATGACGATAATAAATGCATATCTAGGTACTTATTTTCGATAAAATAAAATATACATAATATAACAAAAGTATAATTAAAAATTGTCTTCATCTACATTAGAACTAAAACATGATAACGTAAAATGAAGTAGTATATCAAGCAATGACTAAGTCCAGAAAAAAAAAATAATTCAAATAAAATCGTAAAAAAACAACAATAAATTTAGAACAAATAAATGCAAAAACAAAAAATTTAAAATTGAAATTTAAAACATACAATATATTAGTCAGTCATTTTATATATGACACAATTTTTTACAATATTAGTAATTAATGTTATAATAAAGTTTTTATTTTTTTAAACTAATTTGCTAATATGTCATGGATTAAATAAATAAGTACATTTTTGAGCAAATCCTACTGAAAGTCTCCAGTAGTGGATACATTTTATTTCTATACTTATATTTGTTTAGGGCCTGGATAATTAATCTCCTGATATACTTGCAAAATAAATTTACCGTTCTATAATTCTTTTGGTTGACAGATAACTGGACGACCAATGGTATCACCTATTGCGTTTTTATCCGCCAGATTGCATACCTGACAGTTAATCAGAAGGTGAATAAGCCGGCCCTAATTGAATTGGATAAAAACAAACAAAAAATTAAATTTTAACCGATTTTTTTATAAAATATCCAAAGATCAGATTTTTTTTTAATATGGATGTATACCAGCTATCCCGACCCGAGGAGGCATATAGCCAATAGAACTATTATTTCTATGCAACATGTCGCCAATAATTTTCTTTTTAGGCTCGATCTTCATTTTAGGTTCCGCATAGCTGTGCCTATACCCTGGCACCGACTTGAAACTTTTTTGGGGATTCTTTACGAATTTCGGATCGTATTTTATTTGAGCCATTTTGTCAATGTTATGAGCAGATTTTGAGGGACTACTATCGTTCATGATGTGATTGTATCTGAAAGGACAAACTACTTAAATAATGTTACAAATAATGATAAAAATGTTACCTATCCGCTTCAGATAACTCCTGGAACCGTCTACTGCTTCTAATGTCTCTTTCGTCGCTTCTATTGAAGCTGGTTACTTCATCTTCAAAGGTGTTTTGACCAAACTCCACGTAGGACCGCCTTTTTAGTTCTTTGGCAATTTCGTTCGAATTTTTCTTATGTTCCTCTTCGATCAAAGAGAACATAGATCTACGTTTCGGGTCGTACTTGTCTGTATTTCTAAATCTGAAATATATAAAGTGCTGTTTTGGAAAGATTTTAAATATATATATATATATATATATATAGGAAAACTATGCAAGTACGTATGTCCAACTTAATATTTGTGGGGAGTTAGCGCTGGTAATTTGCGGCGACTGCGTGCGGATTATCAGTGAACATGGAGCAGTGGTAGAATGAGCAACGCGCGTTTTTTAGAAACGAACGATTTCTATGTCGCGGCATGGCAACGTTTTTGTAACTCAAAGAACCAATTTTGGTCGTGGCGACATCTAAGACTAAGATTCAGCACTCAACAACATTTTTGCTGTAACAGTACTGATCGTCTAAAAATCAGTTGTTGGGAAAACCCAGAATAGGGAAAACAAGTTTTCTGCTATTATTCACTGTGTAACGCTCTTTTGTCGGAACAAAAGAATGCTCATATTTGTGCTCGACTATGCTCAGTGGTTCTTTAGCTTGGGGTGGACCTTGGTGTTGGTACAGTAAAGAGAGGGCGCCACTACCCACATAACAAAATTGCATCCTTAGAATGTAATAAGATTGTTCTTTTTTCAGGAGGAATGTGCCTAGAATGTTCGTCAAAACCATTGCGAATGTCCTGAGAATGTTCTGAGAAAAGATTGTAGAAATACTGTTTGCAATACCCAAGAACTTCCTGAGAAATCCATTAGGATATTCCTAGAATATACCTATGAGATTCTCAGTACATCCTGAAAAGAATATTCCTGTTTGATTCTAAAAATATGCTCGAAATGTATATTCTCACATTCAAAGAATATTTCTATGACATTATAGTTATGTTCTCAAAAGAATATTATACCAATATGCGTGAAATATTCTTAGAATATATCTACATATAACATTCTCACTATGCATCCTAGACATAACATTCTTGTTTGATTCTAGGAATATACTTGGAATGTTAATTTTCGCTTCCACATATTGCTCCTTTCAGCCCTTTTATATTAAAGGCAGTGAAAGGAGTTGTTGGAAAACTTGTCTGGAAAACACAAGTGTTTAACCAAAGCTCCGGTTTCGAGCTTGTTATGCTCTCGTCGCGGTAAGCACGCCAACTGAAAGAAACAGGTTCCAAGGTGATTCAAATGCTAGGCAAGATGTAGATCTTTAATAGCGCGTGGCTCCCTCTCTTGGAAGTCCTACAAAGTAATAGAAAAAGAATATACCTATATTTTTAGTGGGTTCTAAATAGAGCATCATTGTTTAATTGTTCAATTAAGATTTTTGAGTAGGTACTTCAGATATAAATTAGGTGAAGAATATGAAAATATTCTTATCATGGTTACCTACCTACATAAACTTCTCAGCACAACTTGGTAGGTATATTCTTAATACTTGATAGAGATATTAGCCGAAAGAACATTTTTTGGGGTATCATTATAATAATGTTCGTATGACAATATTCAAATAATGTTATATAAAGTAGGTTCTTAGTACAATCTTTCAGGTAGGTGCATAGAAGCAACATTCCTAGTACATAAATAGAACGTTCGAAAATGAATATTTCAATCGAAACAGTCTTAGAATATTCATTGAACATTCCTAAAAGAACATTTCAAAAAGCACTTTGAGGGAATATTCTGAGAATATGAATGTTCTTTGAGTGTTATGTGGGTAGTTTGTATGAAATTATTTTGATTATCAAAGAATAGCCAAACTAGACACTACTCAAATAATTAGCTATTATTTCAAAAGATAAATGTAAAAAACAATATCTAGGCAGTTTTAAATATCAAGAACCTGCTAGGTGAAATCAAGAGGTCAGCGTTTTCGGAAGAGCTCAACCTTCTTACCTTTAAAGTTCAAAATAAGTGAACATAAAACTTAAATTTGACTACCTAAAGATTTTACATTAGTTTACCTTGTAAAACTACCACACTATTGATTTGAAATAACAAGATAAATAAACCTTTTAAAGGTTAATGAATCCACAATATAAACTGCTGGACAATTGCTTTCGAACAAGGTAAATATCGCCTAACTTTCAAGATCGATATTTTTGGAACCAGAATAGATATCGACCTGCGGTTTTCAAGGGCTGACAGATTGACTTTTTGTGAAAAAAATTGCTATTTTGAAAATTTTTTAAATGTCTACTTTTTTTCATACAGGGTGTTAAAAGAGTCCATGTTTTTCATCCCAATTTTGAATGTGTGTAACCTTCTCAGATAATTTTTTAAATTTTATTTCTATGCGGCGTTTCAATCAATGATCTTCTGCAAAAAAAGTAATTTCTCAAATTTTTTATACCTGCCTTAGTTTTAAAAATATCGACTTTTTTTCATAACCTCCACTTTTTTCAACTTTTAAGCAGCTAAACCATCCTGTACAATAAATCTTGCATCTTATGCTGCTGTTTGATATACCCCACGATATCCTGATTTATTTTCAATGAAAAAAAATTACTTAAATAATGTGGTGTCCAGTAACGTACTAATAATCGCCCATTTTCGGAATAATTTATTAATGGCTCACCGAATTTTACATTCAAAGGTGCATAATTTTAAAAATAATCATTTGAAGTTTCATTTGTTTAGTTCACTTTAATCATTGACATATTATTAAGAAAACAATTTCTCAAAATTTTGATATTTGCCTTTGTTTTTAAAATATCGTTTATTTAACATAACCATATTAATTTTTTCGATTTTTCCGTTCTAAACCATCCTGAATCGTTCTTACCGGTGAATTTTTTTAGCAATTGTTATACCTTTCAGCCAGCGTATTTACTATGATTAAAAATATCGAATATCTCAATGATATGCTGTACAGGGTGGTCTTGTGTTTCTTATGACAAAAACCGAAATAATTTTTTTTTCTCGAAAACTGTTAAAGATAAACCTATCAAACCTGTATCATTAAAATCAGCGAAAGCATAGCTTTCTAATGAACTATTAATATATAGAGTGTCCTATTGAAAAAAATCGGATTTTGGTCAATATCTCGAAATCGAAGCCAGACAGAAAAAAACTGAGAACGTCACTGAATTCTGCTTGAAAAAGTGCTTCCAAAAGGTCTTTACGGAAATAAATTATTTCCATAAACAAAAAAGTTATGGAGGCTTTACAGTATTGATCAAAGTCGAGAATCGCCCTCTAGCGCCTAAACGGTTGAAGATATCAAAATGCGGTTTGCACCAATCAAAATTTCATGAAATTTGAGCCTCAGAGTGGGGGGTCCATTTTTTTCTATCTCTAAAAATAAAGGGTGTTTCCATAAGAAAGTGTCCAATTTGGCCCACCCTGTACAGTGGCGTGCAAAGAGAAATTATCCAGCGTTTGGAAGCATTTTCGCGCGATCATACCAGTAACTTAAGCTGAGACCACACAACATCAGGAGATTTTGGAGGCAGGTGTAACTGCTGCATGTTATGGTCCCCCAAAAGCTCCTAAACAATTCTTGCTTTGTGTGGTCTCGCATTATGTTCAACCATGAAGAAATGCTCCCCAATATTTTCTGCATATGGAATAACCATGTCATTTATTATGTGATTCCGATAAATTACGGTGTTAACAGTTATCCGTGAAATGTATAAGTAGGATCTACCGTTGTACATCACTCCGGCCCAAACATTGAACCCTCCTCCTCCAAAGGTTTCCTGAGAAGCCATGTTGTCTTCTTCAAATCGCCCCCCAGGTTGCCTCCATACTAACACCCTACCATCGGAGTGTATCAGGTTGAACCGCGTTTCGTCGCAAAAGAAATACTTTTGCCACTCATGTAATGCCTTGATTAACAGGAAATTAAAGGAATAATTAGCTTATTTGCCTTTTAAATGAAGAGGTAAGCTAAAGACATGTAGCGCGAATATATTCGGTAAGCGGCAGCACTATAAATTACCTAAAACAGCTTTTTCGCTTGAACGGTCATGTCCGCTATGTGCACAGAGGTGGGGCCCCTAGGAAAATTGAGGGATGAGCAGCATGAACTCTATTAAGAGAGGTTCACAATAACCGAACTTCGTGCTCTAGTGTTGTGAATAATAGCCTAAGAAGGCACACTGGTATAGTGGCGTTTAACAGGACCGTTAGAAGAACGCTAGCGCGAGCAAAATGTGTTCATCTTTTGCCAAACCATAGAAGACTTGGTGTCGAATGAGCCACCGATAAATTGGCATGGAATGACGAATATCGGAATTCTTTTTTTTTTGTGACGAAACGCGGTTCAACCTGATACACTCCGATGGTAGGGTGTTAGTATGGAAGCAACCTGGGGAGCGATTTGAAGAAGACAACATGGCGTCTCAAGAAACCTTTGGAGGAGGAGGGTTTAATGTTTGGGCCGTAGTGATGTACAACGATAGATCCGACTTATAGGTACATTTCACGGATAACTGTTAACGCCGTAATTTATCGGAATCACATAATAAATGACATTGTTATTCTATATGCAGAAAATATTGGGGAGCATTTCATCATGGTTGACGATAATGCGAGACCACACAAAGCAAGAATTGTTTAGGAGCTTTTGGGGGACCATAACATGCAACAGTTACACCTGCCTCCAAAATCTATCTCCTGATCTTGTGTGGTCTCAGCTTAAGTTACTGGTATGATCGCGCGAAAATGCTCCCAAACGCTGGATAAGTTCGCACTTGCCATAGAAGAAGAGTGGCAAAATATCTCTCAGGCATTCATTAATCTGTTGGTTGAGAACATGCCACGGCGATGCCAAGGGGTTGTGAATGTGAGGGGAGGGCTTACTAGCTATTAATTAAATAACTTTGATTATCGGTCGTTCTTTATTAATTTTTTTAGCTTACGTTGTTTATTACTTAACTTTTAGGTCACTTTGTTGTTTTTATTGAATCTTACTTTGATTAGTTTTTTAATTCACTTATTTTGATTCGTTTTACCTAGGTATCTACCTAACTAAACTGAAAGTACTTCTTAAACAATTTAAAGTAGGGGAATTTCAGATTTTACAGGTGATTTGAATAAACATCTTCAAATAAATAACACGTGTCGATTCATTTTGTTATTTCT